CAGCAATACAGAGAAAAACAATGCAAAACAGAAACAACTCTAAACTGATGGAGGTAGCGGTGAGAGGCAGGGTGATGTATGCCCCCATCTCAACCCATCAAGGGAGAGTGTCCCTTGTCGGCCGGGTGCGCACGTGTGTAGTGGCCCGTTAAATCAAATTACACGAGAATCTCCAGCCCCGGAGTCCCGTTGGTTTATAATTGTGATTAGAGGAGCTATGAAACATGAAATGACCACTTGTCTTCGTATCAGACCCCATTAGATAATGAAATATTGAACAAGGGACTGTTTCATTGGTCAGAAAGCCTTGCATGTGCATTGTGTTAATACAAATAAGTCTGTGTGTGTGTGTATGTGTGCGTGTGTGTTATATCCACTGCTTCATACCCACTTTCCAACTCACCTACAACTACCACTTTTTTTCACTCAGTTTCGATACAGAATTCTCTGCCCAAATCTATCTATCTATCTATCTATCTATCTATCTATATATATATATATATATATATATATATATATATATATATATATATATAAAATTTCGGTTCTCCTAAGTTCACCGAAGTTAAGCAATGACGAGCCTGGTCATAACACTTCTCACGCCACTTTCCAACTGACCTACGACTACCACTAATTTCTTTTTCCTCATTTTTTGCTTCGATGCAGAACTCTCTCTCCCTCCTTGGGTGTGTGTATATATATATATATATATATATATATATATATATATATATATATATATATATAGATAGATAGATAGATAATATTACTGGTCAATACACACACACACACACACATATATATATATATATATATATATATATATATATATATATATATATATATGTTTGTATTTATATATATATATGTTTATATTTATATATATAAAATATACAAATGTATATAAAATATATAAATATACATATCTATATAAATAAATTCCCAAGAGGAGAGAATCCAGGTAGAACTCAATGTCTAGGACAGAGTAAGAATATAATATAAAAGGCTCAAACACTAATATTCCATGGTTCTAATTTCTTTTTGAATTTGTAGTTCTGATGAATTGGATCGTGATTACGATTCCAATGTAATAAATTATAACCACGCAATATTAGTGTTTGGGCTTTTTTATATATATATATATATATATATATATATATATATATATATATATATATATATATATATATATATATATATATACACTTTAAGAGAGGATCATAATTTATTAATAAAAAATATATAAAGTATTACAACGTTTAAAATGTAAGAACGTTTCGGCCGACACATCAAATAAAATATCATCGGCAACTAAATAACTGAAATGAAAAATTAACTTCAAATACTGTATATAAAATCATATAAAAAAAGTGGGGAGGAAATTTTTTTAAAAATGATTGACAATTGCTGACATATTTTCCTCAGTTGTCAATAATGCCCAGTGTATTTTCCAGTTTATCATGGCATGAAAAAATAACTCACCCACCTCCATCCTCTATTTAGCCTAGATCTGATATTTTATTGGTTAATCAAGGCATACCCACAAGTGTATTTTTCATTCTGATGTCATGTTCCCCATCCTTCTTTAACTTTTGGAAAAGCGATAGGACTTTCTTTTAAAGTTTTCTTAAAAATCATTTAGTCACCAGTTACGTACCATCGCCTGAAAAAGAACAATCACAGTATTGAAACATGAAATCCTTTGAGTAGCGATTTCAAAATGGTTTTGTTATAACATCTTATAATAAAAAATATAATAATAATATATTGCTCTACTCTGTATTGAGCATTTTCTAAAGTAAATGCTACGAACAGAGGAATTTTTCTTCAGTTCTTTCTCTCATTAGAATATATATATATATATATATATATATATATATATATATATATATATATATATATATATATATATATATATTGAAATGGATTAAGTCCGACAATTATTTAAAAAAAATTTCTGTTATTTTACTTATTTGAATAAAAAACGGAGCATTTACTTAAATAAATTATATCTAAAAACATAACCTATAAACAGAAAATATATTACACACACACACACACACACATATGAGTGACTGCTACCAATATCTATCTATCTCTCTCTCTCTCTCTATATATATATATATCTATATCTATATCTATCTATCTATCTATCTATCTATCTATATATATATATATATATACATGCATGTGTGTGTATACGTGCGTGCGAGTGTCTAGTTGTTTATTTGGGCAGCAGTCACTATTTAATGTATGCTTCGCTGAACATGACTGAAGAGATACTTTATATTGTGTTTTTATGATATTTTTATTGCATGCAAACAAGTGTTTTATTTTATTGTCAAATAAAACTAAACAAGTATACCTTGTCAGTCTCGTTCAACGAAACATATTAATGAAAATCTATCCCCCCACACATATATGTGTGTACGTATTTGTGTATTTGAGCAGCAAATCTTCTATAATACCTGTTTTGTTAAACAAGACATAAGCTTGTTTAGTTCTTTTTAATGTCTTATTTAATATAATATATATATAATAATGTTTTATTCTCTCTCTCTCTTTATACATATATATATATGTATATATATATATATATATATATATATATATATACAATAGTTGGCCACTCGCATTTGAGGATACCCGTCTTCTAGGGAAGCAAGCCAATCCCTATTGCAGACACTCGCTCAGTCACATTTGTGTTTGTTCAACACCCACAGATCCAACCTCTGGTTTATACAGCAAATATGCTGAGCAGACCTTAGTTACAGTGAGAGAGTGTGTTATCTAAAATGATCAATAACCAGCACACTCAAACCCTCAGTCACGATGACTTGTGAATTCGTGCTAGCACAAATGTTCCGTCTATCCAATTTCACAGGAGTTGATATGGATTTCTGGCACTTTCCAAAGTTGACGCACACTGGCCGATAACATTAGGAAGTCTCCTTCCTGAAAACTGGCCTTGGTGAGATTCGAACCCTGTTCTCATGGTCAGAAAGCGAACGTTCTAACCACTCGGGCACTCGCCCATCATATATATATATGTGTGTGTATGTGTGTGTGTGCGTGTGTGTGCGTGCGTACGTATACGCACATACATATATATATATATACATAAATATATAAACATACAAAAATACATACATATATGCATATATATATATACTTGCTCATATAGAAATATATATATATATATATATATATATATATATATATATATATAAACATACACACACACACAAATATATATATGCACATATATACAAACCATATATATATATATATATATATATATATATATATATATATATATATATATGTATATGTGAGTCTGTGTAAATATTTGGGCAGCAAACCTACTATAATACATGTTTCGTTAAACAAGACTGACATTTCGTTTCAATGTTTTTCTTCAGGAATTTGGCGACCATCGCTCCCCTAAACAACCTGCAATTTATAGCTCTTAGTCAGGCTTGTCATTTTGCTATTTCTCCTAATATCTGATACACAAACACGTAAGATAGGTTATAGAATGCTTTCTTCTTCTTGCTTACAATATGTCGTGTGTGTTTAGGACTCGATCGGAGTTTTGTCTGTAAAATTATTTTTAATATAAATTTTCATATATCGTTTTCCTATATATATTGTTCAAAATGTGTTTATACATATATAGAGTGTGTACATAGAAATCAACACAGCATGTCACTCGCTCACTTTCTGAGCGACTGTTCGGTTAAACTCTCTTCCTACCGGCGGGAGGAACCCGAAGGAGGCTACGCCGAAGGGCGGAGTCTCCTTCGGGGAGGTAAAACTTGAAGATTGCATGGAGGCGTTTATCGTATCAGTTTATTACTTAATAATGAAAAAGGATCCCCAACATTATGTCCACTCGGACTATATTAATAAAAGGAGTAAACAAAATATGGCTCCATGTTATAGTACATCAGTAAACTATAGCGATGTCCTCAAACATGAAGCCGTATATTGTTACGTCTTTTCTGTTAGCAATCATAGTAAGAGAAAGATAGGGACATACATACAATATGGAGATTCTTCTGTGTTTCTGGAGAAGCCATGTTTATAACTTCAAATTCAAGAGGTTAGGATTCATCTATATGTCCCAAGCGAGGAATATTCCGCGAACAGGAAACGGCTTGTCTTTTTCTGCTAGCCGGTGATTTCTATATCTGAGGAAACGGGGCAATGGACTTGTAAACTGTAGCATACGCTGGAGGAGTCAGATTTAGCTCCAGCCAGAGCTCCTTTGCCCGGACTAAAAAAAGAGCAAGCGCACGGTTTGAATTTAACTACCACTTTCTGCACTGGGTGACGCCACAAATCGGCAGTCACGTGACCCACGTGGCTTAATCTCGACCGAAGGCAGATAATCGCTTTTTTTATCCCCACACGTATAAACGTTTTGTAATAGAGATATAATTTTCTAATGTATATATAACAGTTAATGCTGTATTATCACATCGTAGATGGAGAAGAGACTTGAGGCTGTAGAAATGGGGTCCTACCGAAGGATGCTGAGAATGCTATGGACTTAAACATGAGCAACGGCAAGGTTTTAGATAAAATGGAAAGAAAAGGTGCACTTGTACGTAGCATCAAAGAAAGAGTTCAAAGTTTTCGGGACCATAATGAGGAATGAGGATTTAGAAGACGGAAAAATATCTGAACATATGAAAGGCAAACGGGGCAGATGAAAGCGTCGCAAAAACTACCTAAAAAATTTGGGTAAATGTTTGGACATTAGCCAAAACCCTAGAACATAGATTCCCAACCTTTTTGTGTCATCACCCGCTTTCACATGGAATTTTTTTTCCAGCGACCATCTGTATGGTAAATATTCAAAATCGTACCAAAATTGTTAGGTAAATGTTTGTTACTATTTCGTAAGCTGATTTACGTATTAAAGAGAAGATGAAAGCAAACATTAACATAGAAAACTGTTTACAAGCATCCCTCGATTAATGCGTATTCAATTTATGCGTTTTCGATTAGTGCGCTTTCTTTCTCTTTATTTTCCTTTTTATTTTTTCATTACACCCTTCCGCTATCTCTTTATCTTTCTCTCTATCTCTCTTTCATTTCCTTTCTTTCTTTCTATCTTTTTTTCTCTCTTTCTTTCTTTCTCTTCCTTCCTCCTTTCCATTTCTTTCTTTCTTTCTTTTCTCCTCTTCAGTTTATATTAGTAAATAAAATAACTAGATAAGGTATTAATCAAACTCTGCATGTTCACTTTCAGTAGCAGTTGTCGGTGTTCGAGCCCAGGTTAAAATCAATATTTTTAAAATTTTGTTGTTTTTTTTGTTTCTTTATTTTTTATTTTTGTTTTTTCTTTTCTTTTAAGTAATTTTTTTTTTTTTTTTTTTTTTTTTTTGCATACGTCGGCCTCCCCAGTAAGATATATGTATCTATATTAGCCAGGCTATCATCAGATAGCGACTAGGATTGAGAAATCGGAGAGCCGAGTTCGAATTCCAGTCGAATTCATTACATTCACTTACGTGCTAATACCCTTGGGAAAGGTATGAATCCTCTTCTAGATTTTCCCGGAGGAGTAATGGATAGCTGCTGGGATTAAGGAATCGGAGAGCCGAGTTCGAATTCCAATCGAATTCATTACATTCACTTACGTGCTAATATCCTTGTGAAAGGTATGAATTCTCTTCTTCTCCTCTCCAGCTATGGGTAAATAGCAGGACAGACCAGGTTCTATAACTTTTGATGGCAACTGGTCTACCGCAGAAAGAAATGGCAACCTACTGCGGGAAATAATCGAAAGATACATGATCACCTACGTGTGTATCACGCATGGCACATAACTGAATTATCAGCGTCACTTGAACAAATTCCCGCCAATTTATGAGCCATCTTTAGGATTTCTGTTTTTCTCTTTCTTTGTCTTATTTACGGGCTCTTTCTCTATCACTTCATGTCACTCTAATAATTTCCCTCTCTCTCTTCATCTCTTTCTTTTTCGCTCTCTTTCTCCCATTGTATATTCTTTTACATCTTTGTCTTTCTATTTTTCTCTTAGCCTGTCTGTCTCACTTTTCCCTCTACTACGAGTTGTTGCTCTTCCTTTTTGCATTTCTCACTTTGTTTCTCTCTTTATCTTTACTCCCATCTGAGAGTTTTCCACTCTCTTTCCCTTTGTATATATATATATATATCTTTGTTTCTCCCACTTTCTTTGTTTCTTCTGCTAGTACTCTCCTTCTCTTTCCTCTTCATTGTTTTATATGCATTTCTCTTTCTTTCTCTTATCTGCGATCTCCTTATCTATTTCTTCTTGTCGCTTTCTAACTTTGCACCTCTCTCTTTCTTCGTCTCTTCTGTTACCTCTTTCTCTCTTTGCTGTTCTGTTTTTATCTCTCTTACTCTCTTAGTCTATCTCTCTGTCTCTTTTGCTATCTCTTTTGTATTTTCCATCCTGTTTTTGATCGCTAACCCTTGCTACTTTTATTCACTGTATTTATCTACAAAATATTTCTTTTTTTTCTTTTCTTTTTTCTTTCTTTTTTTATTTTTTTACTCCCTTTTGTCCTTATGTTTCACTCCTTCTCTCTATTTATCTTTTAATCTTTTTGTTTCTAGAAATGTCTTTTATTTTCTCCTTCTTTCACCCATGTCATTTTTCTTCTATTTTTCTATTTCTTTCTTTCTTTTCTTTTCATTCTTTCTTTTGCGCTCCTTCTTACTCTAACTCATCTCTCTTACACTCTTTTTTTCTTTTTCTTTCCCTCTTTTTCTTGATATTTTTTCCCTTAATTTTCGTCTCTTTTTTTATTACTCACTCTTCTTTACTTCCTCTTCAAGATTTGTTTCCTCCTGTACACGTTTTTTCTCTGTTTTTCTCTTTATCCCTTTCTTTCTTTCTTTCTTTCTTTCTTTCTTTCTTTCTTTCTTTCTTTCTTTCTTTCTTTATGTCACTTTTCCCTCTTTGTCTTTCTCACTTTTCTTTTCTCTTTCTTTGTCTCACATTCCCTCTCTTTTTATTACTTAATCTTTACTTTCTCTTCAAGATCCGTTCTCTCGTGGGCTCGTTTTTCCTCTTTCTTTCTTTCTTTCTTTCTTTCTTTCTTTCTTTCTTTCTTTCTTTCTTTCCCGCTTCTCTATCTCACTTTTTCGCTTTTCTTTTCTCTTTCTTTCCCTCACATCCCGTGTCTTTTTTATTACTCACTCTTCTTTACCTTCTCTTCAAGATCTGTTTCCTCCTGTACTCGTTTTTTCCTGTTTTTCTATTTCTCCCTCCCTCTCTTTCTTTCTTTCTTTCTTTCTTTCTTTCTTTCTTTCTTTCCTCTTTGTCTTTCTCACTTTTCTTTTCTCTTTCTTTGTCTCACATTCCCTCTCTTTTTATTACTTAATCTTCTTTACTTTCTCTTCAAGATCCGTTCCCTCGTGTGCTCGTTTTACCTTTCTTTCTTTCTTTCTTTCTTTCTTTCTTTCTTTCTTTCTTTCTTTCTTTCTTTCACGTTTTCCTCTTTCTCTTTCTCACTTTCACTTTCTCACTTTCCCTTTCTCACTTTCCTTTACATCCCTTTTGTTTTTACACTCTTTCTCTCCTTTAACTTCTCTTCGACATCTGCACTCTCGTGTACTCGTAATGGTTCGGGCAACTGCGCGAAAAAGATTCAAAGCAGTAAATGGCATGTGGGTAAATAATCAGACGGACGGTCCAGCCCGTCGGTCAGACCATCGGCTGCTGACCATTTGAGCGGATAAAACGATGGGAATAACAAACAGGATGATATATGAACAAGGGAGACTAGTTTAAGCGTGCGAGGTAAGGAAAACTGTGGGTCGATCGATGCTTGGTCGAAATTCCATCAAAATTAAGGAATGAATGATAAAAACAACTAAGAAAAGGTTATTCCCCCCTCTCTATCTGCCATTTCCATTCAGAACGTACAGTATCATGACTCTCCACAGCTTCCATCATTTTATTTCTCCCATCCATACTTCCTCTTTTATGTCTGCTCGATATTTTGTGTTAGTTGTTTCAACTCATCATTTGCTCAAACCTTTTGGCTAACTTCATGCGCACTGAGAATGAGTTCAGCGAATATACAAAAATAGAAAGGGGCGTAAGGCAAGGATGTGTCTTCTCACCGGACTTTTTCAATGTATACAGCGAGGCAATTCTGGGAGAACTGGAAATCCTACCGGGATTCATCATTTGTAGCCACAGTCTTAACAGCATAAGATACGCAGATGATGCAGTAGTAATAGCAGACACGGAAAAGAAATTACAAAACCCCTTACAGAAGATAGCGAAGGATAGCGTGAAGACGGGACTAAGCATAAACTACAAGAAGCCAGAATGCATGGTCATCAATAAAAGGATGACACAAAGTGCGATTTGCAGATCACGGACACTAAAATCAAGCAGGTGCCGAAATTTAAATAACTGGGAAGTGTTTTGACGGAGGAGGGGAAGTGCGACGCTGAGGTCCGAAGACGTATTGGGATGGCTAAAGATACATTCCAAAAGCTGGGTAGAGTACTGCAAGACAGGAGAATTTCTTTGGTAACAAAGAAAAGAGTACTGAGCTTAGTACGTGACATCTGTTGTCCTTTACGGCAGCGAATTTTGGACGATTTCCTCAAAGATGAAAAAGAGACTCGAGACAACAGAGGTATGGTTCTACAGAAGGATGCTAAGGATATCATGGACCAAGCGTGTGAGCAACGATGAGGTTTTGGAGAAGATGCAAACACGGAGAAAGCTTATACTTAGCATCGAGAAGGCAGCTGAAATTTCTGGGAGAGGTAATAAGAAAGGAGGGCTTGGAGAATCTGTTACTCACAATCCGTTTAGTGGGAAAGAGAGACACGGGAAAGCAACACATGACATACCTGGCGGACTTAAGCAAGTCGATGACAGAACGTGGTCTCTGGGGAATGTGACAAAGGAACGATTCTTATTGAGAGCTGCAAGGGATAGGAGGAAGTGGATAGCCATGATCGCCTACGTCCTGAAGAGACACAACACATGAAGGTCAAATATAGGGAAAGAGAGACAAGGGAAAGCAACGCATGATATACCTGGCGGGCTTAAGCAAGTGGATGACAGAACTTGGTCTGCGGGAGGTGTTACAGGAACGAAAATTAGTGAGAGCTACAAGGGATTGGGGGAAATGGAGAGCCATGATCGCCTACGTCCTGAAGAGACACAGAATTTAAAAAAAAGACTCGCTGTTTTGCTCTGCGTATCTTTCCTTTGATGTGCCAAGTGAGTCGTAAATTCTCCAAAGCTTATTTCATCATGTTCAAAATATTACAGCTGTCACTTCTGAGACGTCATAGCATTACCTTTATATTTTGTATTCCCCTAAAAAGGTGTTTTCCTTCCTTGAGTGGTCTATATTAACTTCTTCATAATGTTCGGTCGGTCGTAAAAGCGATCGACAGTTATAACGAAACTGGACTGGGCTCATCCACAACCAAGCATCCTCGGTTAATAAGGTGCTTTGTATGAATTTTCGTATGTTATGCAGGTAAGATATTTTTGCACCTGTAATTTCTTTTATGTTTAACTAGCAGTACTGTAGTATAAAGTCTTTGACATAAAGCTGGCGAAGGTAAAAAAAGAAATGGAGATGATAGAAATGTCAACAAACGTAAATAAAAAAATACAATAATGTCTAAAGAATAAACGCCTTGCAAATTTAAAAGGAATGAAACCAAACTTGGAACGATTTCTAAAGATTGAACAAATGGCAGATGATCTGTTTTGTCCATAACGTGAATTTAAGCGCAGTACTAGATTGGTGGCAAGAACTCATCCTTTTAAAGTTAAAATGGCTAGATGCAACCGTAAGTTCTATGTTAACAGTTTCTTCTATCGTACTTTCTTTCGACTTGTTGCTTTCCAGTTGACTCTAATCTACAAAGATTTGAATTCAATGTAAATCGTCATCTTACTGTTCGTTTATTGTTCTCTCCCTTTAATAGTATTTTTCTCATGATCTCTAACACTTACTAATTCTGTATGCCTTAGTGTCTTTATTGCCTTTCTTGAGGTAAAATGATTCAAAAAAATAAACTCCCTGCTTATGTTCAACTAGCAGCATGGCCCAGCGTTGCCCGTGCTTGACTCAAAAAATCGTACAACTCATACAGAAATCCCTATCACTTGACTTAAAATATTTTTGCCCTTCCTTGCCTTTAAAGGAGTGCCCTTTGCCGTGCTGATGTTGCTACATGCCTTGCTCCTTGCAAATTTTCTCTAAGCTCTATACTAAACATTAAATCTGTTACGAAAAAAGAACTAAACAAAATGAACACAAAACGATAAGATTTAAAAAAAGAATTCGTAACTGGAAAAACCGAATGAAAAAAGAATGTTAACAACAAATAATTTTTCACACCCAACCCAGTTCTGCGGAATCAGAATTAACGTTGAGTTTAAGCAAGCTAATGAGCCAATTGGAGTAAAGTGCCATGCAGATTTAAATTTTTTCCAACTTGTGACGAATGTAGCTATCGATTATTTTTGCATGCTAACATGCTAGTTAACATTCGTGTCAGTCAGCTGTTGGCTATCACGCTGGCCAATAGAATCTTCCTGCCTATTCGTGGCAACCAGCTATAGGCTCTCACTCTGGCCAGTAGAAAATGGCCCCGAACTACATGAAAACTGCCGTAGAAGCATGAAAAAATCAATTATTTCCACTATCGATTGGGAGTTGGGAAATGTAAAGTCGGTCTTGGCCTTCCCGCTAACTTGGAGCATGTGCATGTACATTTTGGTGCAAATCCGTCGAAAATTGCGGCCGTGCATTCGTTATACACACACGCGCACACACACACACACAGACACACATCCTGCCTTTTATAGATAAAAATGGTAATAGGATTGGTAATATTAGCTGTTTCCTTATAAGGAAATATTCCGTGTTAACTGAACGAGCATCCAGTGTTACTTTTCCTTCCTGAGTCATGATGATAAACTACAACCGCGTCCGGGGTAATACGATAAACTATGTCCAACAGCAAGACCTTTAATCAGGATGTTTCGAGGAGAGTGGAACCACTTTTTAATTGCTGGTATTCCAGGTTCACCATGACCCGGGGTGGTAGCAATTTCCACCCCAGCTGCCAAGATTTCCCTTGCTGCCTCGAGTCCTGCACCAGCTGAAAACATCGACGATATTCAGTCGCCCCACCCACGAGGGCATAATGTGACACAAGGCCGGTTTAACCTGGAATCTCCGAGATGCCCATTGAACCCGTATAAACGGGTTCAGGGTCGGTTTATCTCCCCGAAAGAGAATCCGCCCTTCGGCGTAGCCTCTTTCGGGTTCCTCCCTGCCCGAAGGCAGAGAGCTCAACCGATCAGCCGGTCGAGACTTGAACGACTGACTGACTCACTGAAAACATCGAC